CATAATAGGGTTTTCCTGTATGACCCAGAAGCAAGAAAAGGAGGATGAGTGCACCCCATGGAGGGCAATGGGTTGTGATTTCACAGGATCCAATTTGAACTTTCCAGGGGCTTTGCAACCAGCTACCTCCAAAATACTTTCAGCACCACAGACGTGTCCTCTAAAATCAAACTAAAACCCATGATTCTGTGTATGTCATCCATTCACGTTGCCCCGAGCCAAAGGGAGCTTCATGTATTGCTCCGGGCTAGACAGTTAAAGCAAAACAAGAAGCCGGCCACAAAGTTCCTCTTGATGTTACCTCAAGGATTGTCTTTCCTTGTCCGTCCGCACTGGGGAGGCCTCGTCTTGAGTCTTGCGGAAAATTCTAGATGCAGCACTTTTGAGAAGGATGCCAACAAATTGTAGTACGTTCAGAGGAGGGCAACAAGGACGATCAGGGGACTGGAAACCAAGCCCTGTGAGGAACGACGGAAATAACTGGTCATGTTTAGCCTTGAGAAAATAAGACCGAGGAGAGATAGGAGAGCACTTTTTCAAAGACTTGAAAGACAGTCATACAGAGGGAGGGGCAGGATCTGTGCTCAGTCATCCCAGAGTATAGGAGACGTAATAATGGGCTCAAGGTGCAAGAAGAGAGATTTAGGCTGAATATCAGGGGGAAAAACTTCTTAAGCGGTATTGCAATGGAACTAAAGACCTCGGGAGGTGGTGAGCACTCCCAACGCTGGAGGCATTCAAGAGACCATTGGGCAACCCTGTGTCAGACCTGCTTTGATTTGGATTCCTGCATGGAGGAGAGGGTTGGATTTGATGGCCTTATAGGCTCCTTCTAGTTCAATGAGTCTATGAAAATCCATGCCCTCCTGCTGCTTGAAGCAAAAGGGCCACTACCCCATTCCTCTCATAGATGCTACTCCTAATTTTTCCCCCTCTGGCACTTGTCTCCACTGCCCTACCAGCATGTCCACACAAAGACACACAAAGAAGAAGCCACTGTGGCTATTTGGTGTGGCCGGCAAAGGTCCACTGAGAGACACTCAGGGCAGGGAAGCAGGTAGCAACGATAGCACAACGATAGTTGCCTGAGGCAACTGCTTAACTTCGCTTGACAACAGGACCCGTCTTGTTACTCCATTTTCCTGGCGGTTGTTTACAGTGATGGTCAGCAACTATGCAGCTTCCCAGATGTATCTGAAGATGTCATGGACGAGAAAATTCCGACAGGATTTGAACTCAGCGTCCATTGGCGCAAGAACGAGTTGCTAGAGGTGTGCTATCTTTGCTGTGTTGGTGTTGTGTTGTTTTAATGGACTCTACCAGAATCCTTCTTCAAGAATCCCCCAGAGCCCAGGCAGAATTCTGGGACTTCCTGCCCATACACATTTCACTCACCTGAAACAGGCCTTGTCTGCCGGCCTGTCTAGAACCTACTTCCTGTACAAAAAAGGAAACAGCAACAGTGGTTCCTGGGAGGCCTGCCTTTTTATGGAGGGTGTAACTCTTTTGGGTTTCCTATATAGAACCTAATGGGCAGAAAGACTATACCACCTAGGAAGCACTACTGCATTTTACTTTTTGCACAGGAAGTAGGCCCACAGCAGCCTGGGAAGATAGGCCTTGTTCCAGGTGAGTGAAATGTACGTGTGTGGATAAGAACTTCCAGAATTCTGTCTGAAGAGTTCTTGCGGAATTCTAGGAGTTGAAATAATAAAATAAAATAAAAGTGTTACCTCACTAATTGCTGATCCCTACTAAATTAAATAACTTAGCAGCTAGCTCAAAGTGTATCCACCCACCCCAGCTGCAACAGTTTGATACCATAGTTTGGTGAAGGATTTAGAATTATGTGCTATTTATTTATTTATTTAAAAATATTTTTTACCCTGCCTTTTTACTTAGAGAGGACCCAACGTGGGTTTTACATCAGTTAAAGATAATATTTAAAAGCTAAAATCAGTATGCAAATATTTGAAAGGATCCAACAATATCACACTAAACGACTAAACAACAACAACAAAATCAGTATCCAGATATTTGAAAGGATCCAACAAATATCACGGTATCATCAGCTGCTGTTGTTCAGGCAAGTAAACGGGATTCTAAGCCTTTCACCAAACTACAAACCCCAGCATTCTGTAAGATGGAGCCCTCATGGTGAAATCTAACCATGTAGATGCACTTTCTGAGTATTGATGGAGAACGCCAGTCATAAGCAAAAGAAACAAAGCGAAAAAACCCTGTGGACATATCGTTTGTTATAACCATCTAACCCGATATTAGGAGGGTTTAACACATAACCTGAAATCCAGAAGTGCAGTTTGTGCTATGTAAAGCTGATGATGTCATCACCCTGGGTGAATTTTCAGACAGTAAAAATGTCTGATCCCTTCACTTCCAGAATTTCCAAAGCTCCCTTTCAGCATAGGGAAGTCTTTGGGGGACTTGGGGTGAGAGAAAATCCTTAATTTCCAAAAAATTTAACCATCTCAACAGCGGCAATTTCCAAACTTTAAGGTCTCCCCACTCCCCATATTGCAATCCCCAGAAGCTTCCTCATGATGAAAGGGAGCCTTGAGACCTTCGGGGACGTGACTCAGCCATTTTTAATTTCCAGAAATAAACGCCACTCTTGACGATGTCATCAGCCTTACGCAGCGCAAATGGAAACAACAGGATTTTCAACCGTTAAATTGCCTTTTGACAGCTCCCCACTTCCAAAGCTACAATCCTCAGTTAATTTACTAACGCAACTATTATGCGATTCTTCTCGTAGGGCGCAATGTCAACCAGCCCTTTCTGTTTCATTAGCAGACCCCACGTTTCGCACCATTCAGAAGAAGCATTAACGCTACAACATGGACAACACGGATGATTGGAACAAACCAGAACATCAGAAAAGTAGGGCCTTTCTTTTTTAAGTTTTGTTTCTCGGCAAGCTTGCACTGTCTAGACATGTTACTCCTCTCCCGTCGTTTTCCTTCCATACTTCACCCCCCATGGCACGATATTAGTTCTCTTTCTTTCTCCTTTTTCCCTTCCCTGCCCGGGCTGAAGCAATCAGACACAGCCTAATAAACCGTCAGCCGGACCTTCAACCTCTTGTCTGCAAAGTAAACATTTCTTATTGTGGACGAGGCTGAGCTCCTAAGGAAAAGGTTTTTAAGTCGGAATTCTCCAAATACACACTGTGTCCTTTTAATAATTTAATAGCAGAAGGCCCTTTATTTGCCCATTCCTCTGGTGTCATGGAGTTTTCAAAGATCTGGGCTTAGGTTTCGGGATTAGGTGAAACGAGAGTGCCGTAAACCTCTTTAGAGGCCTGGGATTAGGGCTACATCAGGGCTAATGCAACCTTTTTCTCCGCAAAGCTAAATTAAACAGCAAGAGTATTCCTTGCGCTTTTAGCTGCACAGGTGTTTGGCAACATACCAGCAAGCATAAAGGAGCCCCCCAGAAAGAGCATGAATTTTGGGGGGGGGGCAAGCCATCGAAACATGAGTATCCGCTAAGTAGTGCCGTATCCTTTGCAAATGTAGGGGTCCCCTCCCCTTCGCTCGGGACTCCTGAGTGGTTTTAAGCATGGATATCGTTTTTATGAGCACCTCTAGATTGAAGGGGGCGAAATTTGAAGATCTGTAACACACACTGATCAAGGGCTTGGTATCGCATAGGGGCGAAGGAGGGCCTGTTTTACCAGTCAGTGTGCAATGCTGACAATTAAAAAATAAATCAATAAACACCCCGAACCAGCTGATATCGTTAAAGACGCCTGGTGATACGGAGTAGTAAGCAGAATCTACAACAAAACATTTAGGGTTCTTCAGCCAGCCAGTTAATGCATTTTTCTGGATGATTCCATCCTAGCTGTCTTAAGGACCACATCTTCCTTTGTTAGCCCGTCTGGGCGTTAAGGTCATCAGAAGATGGCCTTTCTTTCAGTCCCACCATCCTCACTGGTGCATTTGGTGAAGACACGGGAAAGGGCCTTCTCTGTTGCTGCCCCGGGACGGTGGAACTCCCTCCCACTGGAAGCCAGGCTGGCCCCGTCTTTGCTGTCCTTCCGCAAGCAGACAGAGACCTTTCTCTTCAGGCAGGCTTTCTCTTAGTGACCGGTTACCTGAGAGTAGTTTTTAAGTGGAGTGCTGTGCTTTGTTGCTTTTAAACGTGTTCTTAGTATTGATTTTATTTACCTTTGAAAACATAATATTTAATTCTTTTTAAATATTTGTATACTTTCTGTTTTCAGCTTTTAAATATTGTATTCTGCTGATGTAAGCCTAATAATATAAACAAAATCTGTGTTTTCTTACTAAACACAAAACACTCGCCAACAATTTACTTCTATGCTTTTATACATACATGTTATAGAATATCAGTCATCCTCAGAATATAAATGGTGATGGCATCTGGCCTAGATGTCTTCAAAAAGGGGATTGGACAGATTCCTGGAGGAAAAGTCCATCGCAGGTTACAAGCCAAGCTTTGCTGGAAGGGACCTCCAAATGCCTGACAGAGGTTGGGGGGATCAGGAGAGAGGCTTCGATGGAAGGGACCTCCAAATGCCTGACACAGGTTGGGGGGATCAGGAGTGAGGGATCTAGCGGTCTTGTGTGATCCCAGAGGCATCTGGTGGGGCCAAGGTGAGATACAGGAAGCTGGACCAGGTGGGTCCTTGGCCTGATCCTGCAGGGCTCTTTTTCTGTTCAACATCCAAATCACCTTAATTGAAATCCAAACCACATAAATTA